AATGACCCCACAGCCCAAGACTGGCTGAGCCTCAGCTCAAACCCCTAGGTTTCTTGATCTAAGTCCAGCTCTTTCCTAGATCCCATGCACATGTTCTGAGGGGGCCCCAGGCAAGGCCAGAGTGACTGTAGCTGGTCTGGACAGGCCTTGTCCAGTCTTTTCTCAAGCTGGGCCTTAGTGTTAGTCGCTAGACCTGCTTTGCTTGAGAGACTTGGGAGAGAGGCTTCTGGGAATAAAGCAGGCTTTCAGTTCATAGCAGAGAGGAGCCTTGAGGGCCTTTCCTGTGCGTACAGGGAGTTCTGGTGGTTCATTGTTGTTGTTAGGTGCCATCCAGTCAAGCACGACTCATAGCAACCCAATGAACAACAGACCGGAATCCTGTTCTAGCCTGTGCCGTCCTTGTCATCCTGAAACATTTGAGCCCGCCCACTGCCGCAGACACTGGATCAGTCCATCTGGCTGAAGGGATTCCTCTCCTTTCTTTGGAAGAAATTGTGCTGCCAACCCAAAGGTACACAGTTTGAATCCACCAGCTGCTCCGTCCTGCCATGCAGTTACTTTACTGCCTTTGAAAGTCCGCTGGTGGCTCAGCTATGGGTTGGTTCTGACTTGACAGTACACAACAACTAGGCCAATAGCATCTCCTCCCTTACTTTCGGGGTCGGAGGCCAGGCTCTTCATTTGTCCCGGGCCTCACTCATTCCCCACCTTGGACACCTCTGAACAGCTCTGTCCACTGGTAACATCACTGTGGGCTCCAGAGTGAGGTGATAACTACCAGAGGTCTCCTAGGCACCATGCCAAGTCTTATGCAGTACTTCAGCTCTCCCGCAACCACAGCCTGTGAGTCAGATGCCATTTCTACTCGTGCAGGCTTGTGAAGGGACTGGTCGGAGAGTGCTCACATCTTGTCTAAGGTGAGTGGCTGCAGTGGGAAACGAACCCCGGCCTGCCTCCTCCAAAATCTGTGATTTAATGAGAGGGCCAGTGGAGACCTGGCCACTGGAGGCAAAGTGAAGCAGCCAGGAAAATCCACCCTCCTCCCCAACCTAAGGTCCCCCTGGAGCACCCCGGGGCAGCAGCTGCTGCTGTCTGCTGGCTCCTTGTGGGCCCTGGACTCACGGTAACCCGGGCACGATGGAATAAGACACCGCCTGGCTTAGTGGCACCCTGTGCTCAGTCACAGACCAGACTGTTGTGATTCACGGGATTTTTTGTTGACAAATTTTCACAAATGGATCACCAGGTCTTTCTTCCTAGTCTATTTTACAGCCTGGAGGTCCTGCTGAAATCTGATTGGCAGCACGCAAGCCTCTATGAACAGAGAGGTAACTGTAAAAGGTGCATTGATTGGGAATCAAACCTGGGTCTCCCAGGTGACCAGCTGGGATGGATGTTGTTGTGCTTTGTCGAGTGGGAACCGAACCATAGGATGGGAGGTTGCCTACCCTTTTCCCACAGAGCAGCTGGTGGATTTGAACCACATTTGCTTTGGGATGGCAGCACAGCTTTTTGCCTCGAGGCCACCAGAGGTCCGTGTTGCTGAACCAGCTGGGGCGGAAGGGGTTTAATCACCTCTTTGGGTTGCACCTGTTACAGCACCACTGTCTCCATGAGGCTGGCGGGGTGTGCCCATTCCACACCGGCACGGGACACTGCAAAGGCTGACAGGCCACCTCCAGCAAAGACAGTCTCTGCCACCCCACTTCAGGGGCAAAAGCTGGGGGAGAGGACCCGTCTGGCTGAGCACCCCCGGCCCTGATGTGGGGCGGGCAGGAGTCTGCTGGCTGAACCCACTGTGGGAGGGAGAGTGGCCCACGCAGAGGGCATGACCCTGACTGTGTCACCCCATCCACCAGGCTGGGAGAAGGGGGTAAGGTCTAAAGTGGGAGTAATTTGTCCCTTTTTACAGAGGAAACAGAAACAAACAAGGAAGTGTCTGTGAGCACCAGAGGAAGAAAATCCACGAAATAGCCCCATAGCCCCAAGATGAGGCAAATGCAGGCCCACATTGCCTGTGGAAGACCCTCCTCCTTCCTGTTTGCTTTGCAGCCTCAGGATCAGCTGAGGAGAGAAACCCAGGCCTCCCCGCCCCCCCTTCTAGTGTAGACTGACTGTGGCTGGCAGTGACATTTAAGACCCGTGTGGGGAAGGCACCTGACCTTGGAGAGGAATGTGCAAAATGTGCAGCCCAGAGCAGACACCCCCCGCCCCCCGCCCGGAGCCCAGGAATGTGGCTCCCTGCTGCTGCCCAGGGCCCCCAAGGGTGCTGAGTGTGTCTGGCGGTCAGGAGGGCAGGGGGTGGCTGGCCCAGGAATGGCACTGTTGGGACATGCTGTGGAGGTGACCTGGTGAATCTCCTGCTCTGGGCGAAGGTAAACACTGCTGCCAATGCCCTGATCCTCTCAGTGCCTGCACTGCATCCTCCCGTGTCCCCTTGGGGTCCAGTCTCTATCCCCCAGGATCCCTTCAATCCAGAGGTCACAGATATAGTTGCAATTTTGGATTTCTCAGATCCACAGAACTTCAAAATGCCAGAGCCCTTTAAAAATTAGCAGTTGTCCTCTACTGCAGATGTGGAAACGGAGGCTCAGAGAGAAGGTTGATATCATGGGCTAGGTCCCAGGTCTTTAGATTCTAGGGTGGGTGCATACCTGCAACCCTTCCTAAGGCTGGAAGTCAGTGTCTCCCAGAACTCCCAATAGGGAAACTTAGCTGGCCTTTTCCAAGCACCCACAGGAAAGTTCCAGCTGGGTGCCCATAGAAACTGCAGGAGTGAGAGCCACAGTCACAGAGAGCAGCCTCTGAGAGTCTGGTCAATGGCTTTCTGTGCTCAGGCTCCTAGCGAGCAGGTCATCTGGGCTTTTGCTGGATTGCACTGATGAGGCCAAGTCAACGCCAATAAATGCACTTGGGGCTGTGCGCAAGGTGAAGTTCAAAGAGTCTGCTGCCATCTAGTGGCCACATCTGGGCATGACATACTGCTTATCTTTTCCCTCCAACCAAAACTTCACAGCATGTATTTTGGGAATGCTGTTAGGAGAAGCTATTCTTTGGAAAGCGATATTAAGCTTGGACAGATCAGTAAAAGATAGGAAGACTGCCAACGAGAAGGACTGACACAGTGACTGTAGCAATGGGCTTACGTGTGTCAGAGATGATGAGGATGGCACAGGCTAGGAAAGGGTTCGGATCTGTTGTTCATAGGGTCACTATGAATTGTATTCTACTAGATGTCACCTAACAACAGCAACAACAGCAGCGCTAGTTTATGGTGGCTAAGTGGGTAAACAGTTGAGATGCCAACCCCAAGACAGTCCAAATTCATCAGCCCAACAGCAGAAAGATCAACTGTCTCCTCCTGTGTGCTTCACTGACTGAAAAACTGCTGGAGGGTCAGCTATGAGTTGAGTCTGACTAGTTGGTCCATAACACAAAGGCCATGTCTAGGACTAAAACTTTGATGTAGTCAACAATTTCACTTTACTTAGATCCACAGTCCACAGTGGTATGGCAACCACAGTTAAGATTATCAAAAGGCATGTTGTGTGGTGAAAATCTCCTTTCAAGGACTTCTCCATAGGTTAAAGAGCAAGGATATTCATTTAGAAACTAAGGTGTGCCTGGCCCAAGTCATGGCATTTTCACCTGCTGCCTGTCTGAAAGCTGGACAATGAATAAGGAAGGCTGAAGAACTGATGTCTTTGGGTGGTGGTGGTGGTGGAGAACTGACTGTCCCATGGATGGAACAAAGAACAAACAAGTCTGTCTGGGAAGAAGTGTGATCAAGGTGTTTCTTAGAGGCAACACAGTAAAATGTCATCTCACGAACAGTGGGTACGTGGCCAGTGGCGGTCAATTCTTCAAAAAGGACATCATGCAGGCAAAGCAAAAGCTCAGAGGAAGGAACGCAGACCCTCAGTGAGGCGGCCTGACAGTGATGATAACAGTGGTTGTGAGGACAGTATAACGTGGTTCAGAACTGTTGGTCACAGTCAATTCCGTGACAGTTAACAACAGCAAGTACGTTTTCCTTCTTCTGTGACAGCATCCCAGAGCATAGATGAGGGGATGTCACCCAACTTCGCGATTTCCATGTGCCGGTTAGAACAGAAACTGCGCTGCCCCACTACCTGATGCTGGAGGAGGGAGATCTCAGGCCAGTGGGTGAGGCCCTGTGTGTGCCACCCAGGAGGCTTGGGGGTGAGGGAAGAAAGTCAGTAGTTTCTATAGAAACAACATAACCAATCAACAGGAGACAGGATGGCTTGAAAATTTAGAGGATATTTATTTCTCAGGAAGGTCCATAATGGCCAACAGGCACTGCCCTCCCCTGTGCTGGGAGATTCCTCTTCTTTTCTGAGAAATCCCCTCGCTTCTGGAAAGGGGCCATGGGAGGGCTGGGATATGAAGAGAAACCATATACAACACTCCAGAGCCTTAAAAAAATAAAGCGACAAACAGCCTTCTCCACACAGATACACACGTACAAATATAAATAGACTAAATAGACGTATAAAAGGGGTCCTGCTCCTCCCACCCTGGTTGAGGCGCTGCTTCCAGAGAGCCAGCGGCTTTAGCCTGCTTCACCCAGCTGGCACTGCCCAGAGCCGCTCGGCTGGGGAGGACCCTAGGCACCCAGAAGCAGCCCTGGCTTCGGGAAGCGGGGAAGGGGCAGGGTTACAAAGGAACAAATAAATAAATAAATAGAACCCGATGGGTGCCCCAGAGGCCTGAGGGCATAGACTGAGGCTGGGGGCATCCCCTGGGGCCTGTTTCCCTGAAAATGGCAGATCCAGTAACAGGCAGAAAGAATAGCAGGGGAAACACAGTGCAAACCACACGCTTACAGCCTCCACGAGTCAACATTTTTCACATCCCTGCAGCTGCAGGCCCAGCCCGACTGGCTCGGAGGGAACAGGGGCCTCCGTATTGCTCTAAGCCTCTTTCTCTGGCCCTCGCTGCTGTGCGCCAGGGAAGCCACCTCCTTCATTCTCAGGCCACCTGCACTGGAGGGAGCAGTGGCCACCTGCAAGGTGGGCTCCTCTCCGGGCAAGGGAAGACAGAGCCCTGTCCTGCTCTTCTCTGTGGCCTTCCTGGTCCAGAGCAGCCTGACATCAGCTGGGAGAAGTTCTGCTGTGACTCTGCATAATCAAAACAATCCAGTCCCCGTGTCCTCTGCTTCGCTGGCCACCCGGGCTGCCTCCCTCTCTGCCAGTGCTGCATTCTTGGTTTCCTCGAGGCCAACAGGGAGAAGGTGTCAGACAGAAGCAGTGACAGGAGCTGCTGGAATGGACAGTTTGGCCAGACAGCCAAACTGGACACATGAAGAAGTCCAAGGCTCTCGGCAGTCCCAGGTGTCTCCCGGAGAAGCGAGGCCAGCGAGGCCGGGAGAACGCGGGGCCGGGAGAACGTGGGGCCGGGCGAGCTGGTGGGCCCTCAGCTGGGCAGCAACACGTGCTCCAGGAGGTAGCTGACGGAGTCCCAGTGCTTCCAGAGCAGGAAGAGGACGAGGACCAGGAGGGCCGTGCTGGTGACGCGCAGCCGCGTCTTCATGAGGGGCGTGATGAAGTTGGCGATGGTGGACACGAACACCAGCAGCACGGCCATGAGCGCCAGGATGACGTTGATGAACTTGCCCAGCAGAGCCCGGGCGTTGGCGTTCTCCACGCCCTCCAGCTGCACCACCTGCTGCTGCTGCTGCTGCAGCTCCAGCTTGGTAATGCGGGTCAGGCAGGACTCCACGGCCTCCTACAGGGGGGCACAGGGGTTGGCACAGAGAGCTCAGGCAGGAAGCACCTACCGGGAAGGTGACGGCATGAAGTCCTCCCTCCAAAGGGGTGGAGGCTGATCAGCTGGGGCTGGGCACCGGGTCCTTCATGGGGCTAGGAGACTACAGCACACGAATCAAAGTGGCTCGGTGAGTCACATGGATTCAACCCCTCCCCTTGTGGCAGGTAAATCGCCCAATCATGTTCCAGCAAGCCAACTCATAGAGCCCCTATGTCTCAGAGTAGAACTGTGCTCCATAGAGTCCCCACAGCGGCTAAATGTCATAAGCAGATCGATGGGCCTCTGAGGGAGTTTGAACAGTCAACCTTTGGGTGCAAGGCTTGGCACTTAACCATTTATAGTCCCTACCGACTTCTAAATCAGTTGTGCTGGAGTTGGGAATTTGTCAATATTCATTTCCAGGAAATTTCATTTCCATGAAAGAGGTGGGGCAAAGGGAACCCATAGCAGCCAACCTGGCTTTGCACTCTGTTCTCTTATTTGGGCTCTTATCTCCATCCATCCCACCCTGCCTATCTCTCCAGGCCCACCAGCCCCCATGTGGTAACCACCTACTCCCTCAGGCTGTCGCCAGGGCCCGACCGCAGCCGTACCTGGATGTCCCGAGCTCTCTCATAGGACTGGTAGGCCACCTTCTCTTCCATGCTGGCCAGCTCCTGCTTCAGGTTGGTCATCTCGTTCTGGTGCAGTTCAGTGAGGTCATTCAGCTGCTCCTCCAGTCGCTCGTACCTGGCAGGATGGGAAGGTGACATTGGACCTGTCTCCCCATGCCTCGCCTCTGTTCCCAAGAACAGAATGCATGTTCATGCATTCTCTCAACAATGATTCAACCTACCCAATGTATCCAACCCTGTTCTAATCTTGGCAACAGCAACAACAGCAGCTATGACTGACATCGTACTTACTACCTGCAGGTACTGTGCAAAGCCATCATCCACGTGTCACATATGATCCCCACCACATGGTAGGCACCAGTGTCACCATCCCATTTTACAGAAGGGAAGACTGAAGCTGGAAGAGCGTAGGAACCTTGGATCCTATGGCTCATGAATGGAGGAGGCAGAGGCAGAATGACTCCAACTTGGGCTCTTTTGCCCTGTTGTTGTTGCTAGGTGCTGTTGAGCCAAGTACCACTCTTAGTGACCCTATGAACAAATGACCTGAACCCTGCACCATGCTGCGCCATCCTCAGACATCCTGACACACAAGAGCCCATTGCAGCAGTCACCACATCAATCCACCTGATTGAGGGTCATCATCTTCTTTGCTGACCCTCCATCCTTCCCAGCATCATGTCCTTCTCCAAGGAATAGCACCTCCTAGCAACATACTAGACGAGGCTAATTTCCATGGCAAGAAGGACACATGGAAGTAGAGGACATGACTCCTTTCCCAAAGCATAAAAGATGATTACATTATGTGGGAGGATTATAGGCGAACTCTCTCCTCAACAACCTTCTTCAGATATAGAGAGGAAATAGAAAAGAACTCAAAGAATATTGGCGAGGGCTACAGGAGAGACCCAGAGCAAAAAAGCAGGGGCTAGCAGAGGGAAGGGAGGGACCACAGAGTCTTGCTTGGCTCCAAGCTGACCTCAGGAATTTGAAGTGCAAGCTCAAATTTACCATAATACAAAGGTACACCTGGGACATAATGCAGGGTTTGTCCCAGGCCATCATAATAAAGCAGATCTCATATAGAAAGTAAATCACAGAGAGTCTGGAGTTTCCCAGTGCCTATCCAGGTTACATTTGCCCTATGCCCCACTTCTCCTGTGGTAGCCTTAGAAATGGAGACCAGGAAATTCCCAACCTAATGCAACTGGTCATAAAATACCATGGACTGCTAGGAAAACAAACAAGTTCATCTTGGAGAGGGTGAAGTCAGGCTGCTCCTTGGAGACAAGGATTCTGAAGCTCTGTCTGACATACTTTTGACATGTTTCAAGGCAGGATCAGTCCTTGGAGAGGGACATCATGCTTGGGAGGGTGGAGGGACAGCGCAGGAGAGGAAGACCCTCGATGAGATGGATTGACTCAGTGACTGGGATAATGGGGATGGGCATGTCGGAGACAATAAGGTTGGCAAGGGATAGAGGAGGGTGTAGGGCTGTTGTACATAGGGTCGCTATGAGTTGCAGATGACTCGATGGCACGTAACAACAACGACAACTGGTGTAATTGTTTTTTGTTTAAGCACTGAGCTATTGTCCAAAAGACTGGCTGTCTACTAAAATATGCATCAACATCAGCATAAGGAAAAAAGTCTGAAATAGGGTAAAAACTGCCAAAATGTGACGGAAAGAGAGACAAACTGAGCACGTGCTGTTGGAAAAATGGCGCCAGCAGAACTTCCAGAGGTAGGGTTGCCACAGGCCTTCAATTTGCAAAAAAGTTTAAAAAGCAGTATCTGCGAAGTTTGATGAAGCAAGGCATGCCTGTACATATTTACATACTTTGACTTTGTTTTTGACTGGATTCACTCCATCATCACAATTCTGAAGTGAGCATATGTACTATTTCACAGACAAAGAAACCAGATCTAGAGAGGCTACATTCAAGGTAAATGGTAAAAAGCACGGCTGGGATTCGAACCCACATCGCTGAACTCTGTCATACAGGGACACAGCGTGTGGGGATGGACCCTAGGGCCGTGGAGCTGGGGCAGCGCTCTCAGAGTGCCCGTAGGTGGGAGGGAGCTGGCCTTCCTGGTAGGGAGTGGCACTGCCAACATAAAGACAAGCGGTTGGAATCCCCCAGCTGCTCCGAAGGGAGAGAGAGGGGTAATCAACTCCTATGTGCTTTACAGCTTCTGAAAACCTGCTGGAAGGTCAGCTGTGAGTCGTTCTGACTCAGCAGCAAATAACAACTAGGTGGGAGGGAGGCCGTGGACCTGGTCCCTGTCTGGGTAGTTTTCCCCTCTATAGCTGGAATACATTGCACAGCGCTTCTCAGGAAGTTCAAAGCATCGCAAGGCAAGTAGGTCTCATTAACCATGCTTTCCATTTTCTAGCTGCCTGACAGATCTGGAGAAAGGCTCTTCAGGGTCTCCTCCTGGCCCTTCCCAGCAGCCCGGGGCCTGTCTTCTTCAGCCTCTATAATTCCCCCTGGCTGCAATGGTGCCCCTTTCTGGTGCACGAGGCCCCTGGCTGCAGTGCCCCCCAAGTCACGCACCTGTAGCGCTCCTCCTGCAGACACTGGGTCATGTAGGTATAGTCTCTCTGCAGCTGAGCCTTCAGATCCTCCATGGAGTCCTCCAGGTGCGACTGCCCCTCCTTGATCTCCCGCAACTCCTCCAGCAGAGTGTCCAGGTTCCCAGGCGGGCAGTACAGCGTGTTGGACTTAGGGCTCCCCAGCACGCCAGCCAGCCCCGCCCCGGAGTTGCTGCCCGCCCCGGCCGAGCTGGCGCTGGCGCTGGAACACTCATCGTCGCTGCCGTACTTGGGGCTGGACACCAGGGTGGCGCTGCCACTCAGCGCGCGGGCCGCCTCCTCGGGGGGCCCGTCCTCCAGAGGGTCCTTCAGGTGCGTGATGTTGTCCGCGCTGCCGAACTTGTTGCGGATGAGGCTGGCGAACTCCCGGGGCTTGGACACCACGGCGGTGTGTGTGGCCTGCGAGAGGCCCGAGAGGCTGCCCTTGACGCCCTCCACCACGCCGCCGCCGAAGCCGCTGATGCCCGCGCGCATGTTGGCGCCCACGTCCTTGAGGCCCTGCTGCATGTCTCGGAGGACGTCCTTGGGCTGCCGTGAGGGCCCATTCTGCTCGATCTCCTTCAGGCGCCTGCGGTAGTGCTCCAGCTTCTTGTGCAGCTGCGCAATGGTCTGCGCCGACTTCTGGTTCTTCTTTTCAAACACCTGCTTGATGCGCGACACCTGCTGCTTGTCTGCGTTGTTGGCCAGCTTCAGGTACTCGGCCACGTTGTCGTCGCGCGCCTCCTGCTCGATCTTAATCTGCTCTGTGATCTTCAGGATCTTCTGATGCAGGTGGTCGATGGCGGCCCTGGTCCGCTGGGGGTCTGGTGCCCCATCCGGCACGTCCAAGCTGATGGGGCCATCGCTGTCACCATGGCCGGGGCCACCAGGGAGGCTCAGGGCCACAAGGTCCCCCTTGTCGACCTAGTGAGGAAACATGGATAAATCAGTAAATGATAGGCAAAGGATTCTACTGTTCTCTCATATGTCCTGGGATTCCTCTGAACTAGGTCTCTGGACATGGCTTCTCTGCCTGTGAAAGGGGTATAAAACAAGTAGGATTCTTCATGAAAAAGAGTGCCAGAGGATAACAAGAGTATCCCGTACAGCTGGTGCCAGTCTGCTGGTTATAAAGGGCTCTCACTTTTGCTATCTACTCAACCCCCACAACATCTCAGAAATGCAGATCTGCTCCTCTTTGTTTTACAGATCTAAAAATTGGCCCAGAGAAGTCAAGCAAGTTGCTCAGGGATGCACAGCTTCAAAAGGACATAACTTCCCACGCAGAATGCCTGTTGCTCCCTCACACTGACTAAAACAGCTCTGAGGCCTCACAGTCACAGTGTTGATTTTTCAGTGCCAAGATAAAAAACTCTCTGAACTCACCTTCTTCCCCTTCCTCGTCCTGCCCTGACCAGACCTTTCTCAGAGCTGGCTGAAGCCTGTACCTGGGCATGATGTTCCCCCGTCCACCCCGCCCATCTTCACTGACACAGCCCTGCGAGTCAGCCATCTCTGCTGACCCCCCTCCTGGCCCCCGTTACCTTCCAATTCTCTGGAGTTGTCAGCAGCCTCCTCCGCTTCATGGAGATGGGAGCACTCAGCCCTGCCTGGACCTTCCGACCTGGGAGAGGTGGGCACCCCCACCTACCCGGCTGGCCAGGTGCCCAGCAAGTCAAGTCTGACACACAATTTGCAGGGCAAGCTCTGGGGACCCGAGGGAGCAAGCTGCCCAGCCAGTGGACCTTGTAGGAAAGAAATGACAGACCCCCTCTCCACAACAGCAGGCAGGCTTCTGGAGCACATCAGGGAGACACAAGCCACACAAAACTCAGAGCACCGGAGGTAGGAGAAGACTGAGAAAGAATGAGGGGAAAAGAGGAAAGAAAGGCTACTGAAGATAGGAAAAAGGGAAACACAGGCCAGATGAGAGCAGGCAGGTTGAGGCGGGGGCCTTTCTCCGGGGGCCAGCCTCCCCTCAGCCAGCAGGGAGGACCTCTCTGTCCACAGCTGAGCCCCTGGTGTCTTATCACCATGCAACAGCGGAAGCTGCAGGAAATGGCTCAACCCCATGTATTTTTACACCACAGCACACCCCAGAACAGCCGGGTCAGCTCATTCGTCCTTTATATGTATGGGGGGGCAGGGGCGGGGTGAGGTGTATGTGGGGGCAGGGGTTAAACACAAAGACAGTGGCCTGATCACATGTACCGGAACCGGAAACAGCCAGTGCCAATTAAAGGCAGAAGTTATCGGCTCTACTTCTGTGAGATGCAGGGTTATTGGAAAACGTGGAAATAATGTTGTTGTTGTGTACCGTCGAGTTGGAACCCAGCCATAGCTGACCCTCTGGTGGGTCTTCGGGGGCAGTTTATCGCAGGGGAAGATGGCCCCGCCACTGTGGCCTCCCCTGGGGGCTTTTTCAGGTCACAGTTCTGCTGGGGACGCCCTTCCTCATTCCCTCTCCAAGTCAGGACTTTCCTCATAACTGCTTTGGATATCCCCAAAGATTCCCTTGCCCTCCTACCCAGAGGTGCTCAACCTTCAAAACCCTGCTCCCCCCAAAATTCTTGACCTTTCACACCAAAAGAGCCACATCTATAGCCACCCCCCACCTCCAGTCATCTGCTCTGAGGTCTAAATGTCACACCAGACCAGTAAAACCCATGACTTCTAGTTGATTCCAACTCTCAGGGACCTTACAGGAGAGCATAGAACTATTGTAAGTCTTTACAGAAGCAGATTACCACGTTTTTTCCTCCCTACAATGAGTGCGAACCTCTGACCTTCTAGTCAGTAGCCAGGCACCTAACCATTGCTCCCTGTTTAGGACTGTAAGAGAGCAAACCTCCTGTGGTGGCTCCTCTCTGGCAGTCTGGCGTCTCTCCCTCCTCAATTTACAGAATTAGAGCTGGTTGTGAAATCCCATATCTGGGAAGAGAACAAACAGACCCTCCTGAAAAACGTTAGGAGTAATGTGACCAGGGCCTGATGTTGAGGTAGAGTGGCCTGTGGTTGAGGTGCTGGCCCCTTCTTGGCCCCTGCCTCCTCTGGCCCAAACTTTAGTGGGTAGTCCTACAGAAAGACCTAAATTCTTGCCCTAAATTCCAGGAGCCCAGGCTGCTTGGTGAGGGCAAGGTGCAATGCCTGCCGGCATGCAGGCCGGTCTCCAGTCACAGAGCAGCCTCGCTTGGCTCTCCTTCCAGGAGGACTCAGCTCCATGGGCCTCTGGGAAAATGGCCTCTCTTCTCCCTATCCTCTCCCCCTTGCATTGTTACTCTAATTACCCTGACAAAGGATAACAATCATCTAATAATAAGCTATAACAAATCGTCCTGTAAGAATTCATTTACAGCAGAATAACAATCCCATGAGGTCAGAAGCATTATTATCCCCATTTTACAGAAGAGGAAACAAAGGTCCACAAGTATTAAGTCACTTGACCTGGACTATAAAGCAGGAAGTGATAAAGACCTTGAATTTGAGCCCTGTTAGTAAAGCTTTCAAGGGACCTTTCCAGAGTACTGAAAAGCAATGATGTCATTCTAGAGATTGAGGTGCTCCTGATTCAGTCCATGGTCTTTGCAAGTACTTGCTATGCATCAGAGAGCTGGATAATGACTAAGGATGACAGAAGAATTGATGCCTTTGAGTTGTGGTGCTGCAGAAGAGTCTTGAACATACCATGGACTGCCAAGAAAACAAGTAGGTCTGTCTTGGAGAGAGTGAAACTAACTTTCCTTGGAGGATAGAATTTTGAAGCTCTGTTTCACATACTTTGAGTATGAGGCCAGGAGGAACTGGTCCTTGGAGAAGGACATCATGCTTGGAAGGGTGAAGGGACAGCACAGGAGAGGGAGACCCCTGATGAGATGGATTGATAAGGTAACTAGGGCAATGGGATTAGGTGTGTTGGAGTCAGTGAGACTGGCTCAGGACAGGGTAGGCTTCAGAGCTGTTGTACACAGGGTCGCAATAAGTCGCAGGGGACTTGATGACACATAAAAACAACAACAGGTTCTAACACTCAGTGCTGGCCTACCTTGGAGACCAGGAAGGTCCTAGAGTCTCTGAGAGCTCTCTGCCTTCGAGGGTCTCGCCCTGGAAGCCTGGTCTCTGGGATGTACAAGTCTAGTCAAGTGCTTCTCAACTCCTAAAACTGGGCTTTTACACCTCATGTGAGCAAGGAAAAGAAAGACACTCTTGCCCTCTGCCCTACTCTGCCTTCTCCATACCCAAGAGCAAATCCTTGGTGAGGTCCACAGCAAATAAAATCACCCCCAAAGGCTCACCAGTGCGCCATTCCCAGCTTTCTCCCAGTCCTAGCGATCGCCACAAAGACTTCACTCACCCACTCTTTCCGCAGCCCATTTGTGGGATGTGTGTGAGAGATAGCAACAAAGAGTGACGATGAGAGGGAGAAAGGTGAGGGGGAAAAAGAAGAATTGGTGGGGAGGGTGACCTGGGGGAGCAACTTGTGGGTGGGAGACAAGATCCCGTCTGTGGCTCTTATCCCCAAGACTGAAATATCTCAGCAGCCACTGACTGACACATGAATTAACTCCCGCAGCCAGTTCACCAGAGAGGTGGGAGGAGGAGGAGAAAGACTGAGTGACCCACTGAAGGAGATTATGATGCAGACAGGGCAGGCCTCTGCTTCCAGACCAGAGTCTATCCCCCAAGTATTTTGGGGATCTTTTCTCCCTGGCCTCTTCCTCAGGCCCCACAGTGTGCTGCTCCCCCTTTACCACTCGGCTGCTCTCTCACTGTGGGGAGACTTGCCTCCTCAGCCCCAGCTAGGCCTGAGGGATCCCTATCATTGAGGACAGGGTGACCTCACTCTGGTTCAGCCCCCATATTTTTCTCCTTCAGCTCTGTCCTTCCCCCCACACACAGATTGACTAAACCTAGGAAAGGTTGTTTTGGGGTTCTGGAGAACAAGGAACACTACATGCTGACAGGAAATACCAGAAACTTCCTCCTCTCTACACGCCCTCTCTCTCCAGTTTTCGAGGCCTAGCTCCCTCCTTGGAGGGAACTCTAACTCTCCCAGAACCCAGGCCCCTGTCTGAGGAGGTGGGAGATGCAGGTCTTCTGGCCCCACCTTCCTTCTCCCTGTTACACACCCAGGGCAGCAGTGGTAGGAACAGGGTGACTGAGGGAAACAGAGACAGGCAGGAATAGCGATGTCTTAGCAAAGAAAGGAAAATCAGAGGGAGGAGCAAGGGAAGAAAGATGAGGGGACACTGTTCTTCTGTCTCCCTGGGAACAGCTGGTGGATTCAAACCGATGACCTTTTGATTAGCAGCCAAATACACAAGCCACTACACTAGCAGGGCTCCTTTCCAGGACATACAGCCGGGACTCAGAAACAAGTGAAGAGAGTAATGGGACAAGATCACTGTGACAGGTGGAGGACCTGGTACAGGTCAGGGGCCTCTCATCGGCCAGCCTGGGCTGTGTGACCTGTGACTCAGCGGGTACAAGAGGGCACATGGGACTCACCCCAGTATCATTTCAATAAAGCAGAAAATCTCCCTCACTCAGGCCATTTCCTCCAGTCCTGGGGCCGAGCAACTCAAAAGAGGGGTCTCACTCAGCTCCTAGTCAGGACAGGGACTCTCCCAGGGCTGCCCACGAGACCACCACACACACTGGGTCACTCAGCTGCCACGGAGCCTCACGGGACCCACACAGCCCAGCTCTGCCCCTTCAGCTGCCAGCACCACATCAGGAGGTGACCCCCAGGCTGATGGCCTCTCACCCTGCTTTCCTGGTTTAACAGTACATAGGCTGGGCTAGTCCTTAGAAGTTGAGAATTGTGGTGGGAGGCCCACGGTCCTTCCTTAGTTCCCATCATTCATGCCAGGCAATTACGGTGTTCAGCAAATGAGACCCGGGTCATTGACCTGGCTCTAAAACAA